TGGGAAAACCAAAAGCATCTCAGTTTAATTACACCTTTCTGCCAGACTCGGTGGCTGGCAAGGCTCAAAGGCAGTATCAGCCACTGGCATCTCTGTGCCATTACTGTCTGTGCCCTCCAACTGTGAGGAAGTGCTTGTGCTGGATTAAAATCCTTCTCTGGCCTCTGTGGCCCACTGATGGCTAATGCCAGCTGCAGAGCAGAGTACCTCTCTCACTGCATCTTTCCCCAGAGCCATCTCAGCTAATAAATGCTGTCAGTGAGAAAAATGGCCCCAGAGGCCAGATTTTATTGTCAGAATCTGGCCTCTGGCACTGATGTCTCATTCACTTGTGACTTGTAAGCACAAGGCCGTGCTGTGTTTTCCCTGACAGTAACTAACCCTGGCTCCTGCACATAGGAGGGAGTTTAGGTTGTCCTGGGCAGGAGCTTGGACATCCTCTACCTCCAGGTTCTCTTTCAGCCTCAGAACTAGCGTGTTCTGTCCTGGCACATGGGATTTTCTAAGTGCAAGCCACATGAGGGCCTTCCTACAAGATGTGAAACCCCCTCCAGTAGCAGTCCTGCCTGCCATAAATTCATGATGCTTTTTTTTGGTTTTTTTTCCCCCCCCCACGTATTCCTCTCCATTCCCCGGGAGATGATGCAGGCACTAACAGAAGGGGCTGACAGCTCTTCCCTCATGGGGGTGCCTTGCTGTGTGCTGTTTGACAGCACTCAGACATCTGAACAACAAATAAATCCACTTATTTTCAAAAATCAATCCTCACAGGAACTCCCCGGAAAGACAAAACTTGTATTGCAGTAATTATATTCTATAAAGTATCTCTTTATGCTTCACAGCAGTTTAAGGAAGGAACTCAGAATATGCTAATAAAAGAGAGGAACAAACTGAAGCACCGTTCATTCCGTCCCCATCTGCTCTGCTGCTGAGTTTGATCTATATTGGATCAAATGGTTGTTGTAAGAGGAAAATGTGGACCTACCCTATCTTCTTTAAGGGCAAACAGCATGCTGAGGTAATTTAAAAAGGTCACATAACCAGCTATAGCCAACATAATTATAATGTATTTACAGTGCCAGAGTATTCTTGTTTTGTTTTTTTTTTGTTAATAATTTCTGTTATGTAGCACCTTTGTCAGAAATCACCCATTGTCATCAGCTTCTCCAGAGAGCTCCCACACAAAATAAGGGCTGAATGCCATCCTCATCTCCAGTCTGGTAACTACTGGTGAGCAGCTGTGTTAGGAACTGTGGTCAGATCTGCCTGCTGGACACAGTACCTGTTTACATTTGAATATTGCCTCCTAGCTTAGAGGAAATCGTCTATTTCCCTCAAGCCAGAACATCCCTTTTTCTCACCACTTATTTTTAGCATATTGTACTTACATTCTCAGAGTTCTTAACTCTGAGAAGGAGGTGTTACTAACATTTTTTCTGAGGCAATTTAAAATTTACCATTTGTAGCTGTCTCTCTGTGCTAGTCAGGTAACTGCTGCTAAGCTTGTAGAGAAGTCTCACACATTACACAATAATTTGTGGGGATCCTAGCAACAGCTGTGTTGGGTAAAAGGTGTCCATTATATTCCATGACCTAACGTTTATCATGCTCAGTGAGCAGCACTCGTGGCTACTTCATTTAGGTAGTTTATAAAGCTGAACTGCTGAACTACAGAACCAGCCCTGTTCCCAGGGCAGGGAGCCACTGCTTGTGTTGTAAAGGCCATTTGACTGCACAGGCTGCTGTGTACGTGCAAAGTGCTCTCAATTAAAAAAAGAAAAAAACAAACCACAAATAAAGCCCAGAACTATGCCTATTTCTTCTTTAGACAGATAGAATAGCTCCTGCTTAAGCTCACATGCAGTGGAAATAGTCACTGAAAGGAGCTCTTCCAATCCCCTGCAAACGTTGTTGTTATTCACTATTTGAGTGATGACTGTAATCCATGAAATGAGAAGCTGTGGGGCAAAACTGTTCTTAAGGCACAGGCACTGCTTTGAGGCACAGAAGACTGCCCAGGCTTCACAACCCAAATCTACACAGGAACCACAGTTACTCCTAAAGGAAGATCCCTGTCAGACACAAAGGACCTGCAATGAATTTTGGTGCTGCAGTTTGCACTCAGAAGCTGATAAAGTCAGAAGAGATGTCAAAGGAGGGATGTAAGTGTCCTGTGATGGAGCCCAGCTGAGTTAGAAGGTTGCCTTGTTTTGAGCAGCCTGGAACAAAGGTGTTTGGGTATCAGATGCCTTTGGATGCTGTGTCTCAAGTGTCTCACGTCCTCATGCCTGGAGGGAAAGAATTGAGACTGCCATTTTGTACAGTTGCTTCTAATCATCATCATCAGCACCTCAAGGTTCAGCCAGCTAGTCCCCAATCAAGCCCTGGTTCTCAAACAGATATTTATAAATTCAGAATACTGCACTGCAGCAAGTGACGCTGGCATAAATTCCCATCTGTCATCCCCTAATCATCTCCCAGCACAGTGATCAATCTCTTTCAAATTCAAATGACCTTAACCACTTAGATACATCGCAAGGAATGGGCAGTGTACCATCCAGGACAATTTAGGGGTGCTGACCTATCCCGCAGCTGTACGTAGCTCCACCTATATTACAGCAGAGACAGATATTTTTATATCTCCATCATCATCATCTCTGCTATAGTTCTCCTTACAGACTACCATGCTAGTGCAAGAATTAGTGTCAGCAAGGTTAAAATATGGTCACAAATACTCTTCCATCACCTTTCACCCCCAGTGGGTGATTTTTGCCCACCGGAGAGCAGGACACTGAGGAGACACTCAGGAGTTACTGAGAGACTGGCACAAGGACACAGTTGGTCACACAGAGTGGTGTGCCATCACTTCCATTTTACTGAGCTTTAGACACCCTCTGAGGACACACCAAGGACCAGCTTAACACTGCCTAGGAAAGGGATGAAGGATTGAGGCATCCATAGCTTATCCACACTTTCCCTAAACAGTGTGCAGGAGGAAAAATACTCACAGATCCTGTGCTAAGACACTGGCATACTGGCAACTTTCTGCTGCAGCCCAGTATGTATCTGTTTGCACAAAGTCAGTGGTGTTACTATATTTCATATCATCCAGCAAGAAAAAAAGCTCTAATGTGATCCCAGGGAAAGCGTTTCCAATAGAAGATACAGTAACCCTTCCAGAAAAAATTGGGTAGGGTTTGTGTGTACTTTGTCACATCAATTTTCTAATCTGGCTCACCAAGCAAGGGTTGCTGGCCTTAGACAAATAACTTGCATTTCAGCACACGCTGTTACTGCTGTGGCTGGGAACCCTGAGAGAGGCAGGGGCAAAAGGTGCAAGGGACTTCTCATAAATCTGCTCCTGTAGCAAAACAGAGCAGGGTTAGAAGCAAGCAGCAGGACCCCTGCAATAGATAGAAAGTGTGAGGAGCAGGGCTGCTGTACCTGAGCACAGCATGGCTGCAGCATCCCTGCAGGAGCTGCTCTGACAGTCAGGCCAGAGTTACCAGCAGGGACCAATGCCTTCAGACATCCCCCTCGCTGCTCACTGGCTCCAGCTGCTGCTACTGGAATGAGTCAAGTCCAGGGGATTTAAAGAGAAGATGCACCCCATGGGTCACATCCAATATCTGTGAAGCTGAGCCAGTCAGCCTGGCTGGTCAAAACCAGCAGTGGCTGCAGAGCCATGATAAACACTCCAGCTCGAGGATTTCCTTGACAGTACATCACTCACTGCACCTCCAGGGCTCATCAGCAGGCACAGCAGAGGCATTTCTAAGCAAGTAAGTGAAAAATGACACAGCAGTTCTCTCTGTATCACCTCTTGTCTCCCACGTCTGCGCTGAGCTGAAATCAATGCAGTTGCATTCACGTTAATGGAGGACAGAATTGGGAAAATTCCCCTGAAGGCAATTTGAGACATTGGAAAGATCATGCTTATTTTTATTTTTTTTAATATAGGGAGTTGATTGTCATGTTTGGTTTAGGTTGTTTTTTTTTTTTCCCAAGATACAAAATTAATACATTCAGTTAACACAAAAATAGGTGAGGGCTATTAGCCAAAATCATTCACTCTTCTGCAGTTCATTTCCCTGGTGGCAGAAATCTGCTCCCAGACATCAGGCTTTGAAGGCATTCATGAAGGAGGAATTTTTTTCAGTGCCAAGTAAAGCAGTTTTTTAAAAAACAAGCATTTTCAGTTGTAGGACGTGTCCTAGGCCATCATTACCTTTATGTTACCAACTTCCTTTTTCTCTGGTTTAAAGGAATCTTTACAATTATTGTTGATTTGTTTTGGGAAATCCATCAAAGCTGCAGAAATGTTTGAAGCACTGAATGCACAGAAGAGGTGATTTACAGAACACTTAGGAAAGTATCAACTACGAACATTTGGCAGCCACTTGTACAGTAAACCAGATCTCTGATTTTTAAGTACTTCTTCAGGTATTCTAGCCAAGTGATTCCAGCCTCTTATGGGAACAATCTTGTGTCTCATTCTAGTCAAACTGATAGTAGGAATAATAGGAATTTATTTTTTTTCCAATTCAAGACGACACAGTAAGTTCTAGCAAACGAGAGGAAGTAGTTAAAATTTGGCTATGCCTTAGTGTTCCAGCAAATCTCGCAAGTACCACAAGGGCTGTTTATATTCCCTTCTCATTCATCCCTCATTATATGAAAAAGTGAAAAAAAGCAAGGTGGGAAATAAGAGCAAGTGTGTGTGTGAGTGTTTTTTCTCCTGCTACCACTCCCTTTGTGTGCACAGACAGGAGTCCCAGCACCCCCTGCTCGGGGGGTGGGTTCCAGAGTTGGGAGCAGGGCCACATGGTCCTGTCATTGCAACACCTGGTCTGAGAGACCCAGCTGGGGTGTTTTCCTTTTGGTATCTTGAACTTTAATAAGGTGGTCATGTTGCCAAGTACTTGAACAACTCCAATCAAGGGCTCAGAAAAGCTAATGTTACATCTTAATAGCCTAACTCTGTGTTTCTTTCTTCACAGCAAACATCTTGACAGTCATCATCCTCTCCCAGCTTGTAGCTCGCAGGCAGAAGTCCTCCTATAATTACCTTCTAGCTCTAGCTGCTGCTGACATCCTGGTTCTCTTCTTCATCGTCTTTGTTGACTTCCTCATGGAAGACTTCATCTTAAACAAACAGATGCCTCAGGTACTGGACAAAATAATTGAGGTCTTGGAATTTTCTTCCATCCACACGTCCATTTGGATTACAGTCCCGTTGACCATCGACAGGTACATCGCCGTGTGCCACCCCCTCAAGTACCACACGGTCTCCTACCCTGCTCGTACTCGCAAAGTCATCGTCAGTGTCTACGTCACCTGCTTCTTGACCAGCATCCCCTACTACTGGTGGCCCAACATTTGGATTGAAGACTACATCAGCACATCCATGCACCACGTCCTCATCTGGGTCCACTGCTTCACTGTGTACTTAGTGCCCTGCTCCATCTTCTTCATCCTGAATTCCATCATTGTCTACAAGCTGCGGCGAAAGAGCAATTTCCGCCTGCGAGGGTACTCCACAGGGAAAACAACAGCCATTTTGTTTACTATAACTTCTATTTTTGCCATATTGTGGGCGCCAAGAATAATCATGATATTGTATCACCTCTACGTGTCTCCTATAAACAACAGCTGGGTGGTCCATATTGTGTCGGACATCGCCAATATGCTGGCACTGCTGAACACTGCAATTAATTTCTTCCTCTACTGTTTTATTAGCAAAAGATTTCGCACAATGGCAGCTGCCACCTTGAAAGCCTTCTTTAAGTGTCAGAAGCAACCTGTGCAATTCTATACAAACCATAACTTTTCCATAACAAGCAGCCCTTGGATTTCCCCAGCCAACTCTCACTGCATCAAAATGCTTGTTTACCAGTATGATAAGAATGGAAAGCCTATAAAAATATCACCATGAAGAGGCCAATAGCTGGAGATTCCGGGTGCAAGTTCTTTACAAGTGGTTACATCTTCAGGATGTAATTTTCTGAAATGGCTGTTTTGAGGAGAGGTCATTTGATTTCATTTCCCTGGGTGGCCAGGGGCAGATCAGACTGTCGGGAGGAAACAGGTGCACTTGATTTTAGGAGCAAAAGTGAGAAGGCAAACACCTCCATCTCTTATATAGCATCTTGAATATGCTTCAGAGTTCAAGTCTTAGTGTTCAGTCACACTCAAACGTTTTGCATCCCAACACCAATGCAATCCAAAGTCATCAGAAGGGCAAAGCCACAGCAGTGTTTAATTACAACCTTTTCAAACACAACAAAACCTTACTTGACCATCAGTTTGCTATTGAGAAAGTAAATGGATGTTTTTGTGTACTCTGGAAGGTGCCATTTCTGAAGCGTGCACTTGCCAAAAATTACGTGTCGATTCTGGCATGAGATGCCACCACACACAGTTGTGCTGTCAAGACCTCCTTGCAGGAGGCAGCCTGTGAGACACAAGTGGTGACAAGCCTGGTTTTGGCTCATTTGAACAAGGCTCAAGGACCAGTACAGTACCTGCTGCAGCCTTGGCATGGAAAGCAATCCTGCAAGCTGCCAATATTTGCGTGTTTTAAGCTGTTATTTAAGAATGTGACTGAGACAGGGGAGCTCAAGGGAGGGAGGGATGTTTCTAGAGCCAAGAACAAAAGCAGCATCTTTCCCCAACTATTTCAGTCATGGTGTCTAAGTACTTTCAAGGGTGAAACCAAGTCCTGCCTAAAGCAGAGCTCTCACCAGAGCTGCTCCTGTGAGCAGTGATCAGAGCCTTTAGGTTCCTTCTTAATCAATACAGATTCTCAGTTATCCCCTATGTTCAAGCCTTTGGGGATTCACATATAAAAAGCTCAGCTTAAGACTTTCTCCTGATGGATGATGCCATCCTATTGCAGATTTTCCATTTAGTTGCTAAACAAACAAACAAAACAAAAAAAAAAAAAACCAAACTGTGAAAGAAATTCATTAAATACTCAACAGCAGTAAAAACATTAAAGCCTTAGTTTAAGCTGATGTGTTTCTCTTATTTAAAGGTGGTTAACTTCTCTTCCTTCACACTCAAAAAACAGCATCTCATCAATGCTGAGTGTAGAAAATAAGAGATTTACAGGAAGTCTGAAAATGCACTTCTTTTAATTTCTTTCCCTTTCAGATCTTGGCATGTAGTCTCTTGTAGCCACATGCCACAACATCTTTATTCTACACTGGGCACTTACACTGGCCTGTGTGGTGTGAGGGCAGTGAGAATGTGGTGAACAGGAGCCCAGCATGGTCAGTGCACACAGCAGCTCCTCAGGAGCTGCAGATCAGCAGTAGCTTGGTGCTAATGCTGTGTTTGTGCCCCTGGCCCTCTCCAGTGCTAGTAGGGAGCTCGTGGTGCATCAGGAACTAACACAGAGAGGTCCTCTGAGGAGGGATCCAGTCAGGCCCACTATGGTGGGATCAGAGGGCTGAAAACATCTCTCTAAGACACATGGATGGCTCAGCTTTGGTGCAAATCCCCTAAGAAATGTCAAGGGAAGTCCTGCTGTGAAAAAGAGCCTGGTTCCCTTCTGCCACAAAGGTTGTGTTTGCACAGTGCCTGGTACCCACATCCTGCAAGAGCCAACCCCAGCAAAGCAGAGCTCACCTTCCCCAGAAGGGAACGGCAGCAGAAGGCACAGGCCATGAAAGCCAGGCCCCCAAAGACACACAGGGGTGATCTCAAGAGAGACCCAGGCTCGCTCAGGAGCAGAGAGGGGATGCCCAGGGCCCCAGGAACATGCACTGCCCAGGGACCTCGAGTGGCAGAACTCTCAGCAATTCTCTGTGAGGTGCTGAGGCACCCCAGGGACCACAGAGGCCAGAGCAAGGACAGGGGCACCTCTGGGGAAATGGGCTGAGAGCAAACACTGAGCCTTTCCACCCTCGCCCACCACAGGGATGGTTTCCATTTAAATGTCCCCAAAGAGAAATGAGGAGCTTCTCAGTCTGTTGGCTGCTCATCCTCGTGATATCAAAGCTTCACCCTTGCAATAATAAAGTGTAAAAGGGATGCTCAGCCTTGCTGTATTGGTCATGACAAGGTTAAAATTATTGCTCCCTTTATAGTGTTTTACAGAAAATCAGTTTTGTGGCCATCCTCCCTGCCCTTCTCTCAGAAATCTCCCTCTGGTCTTTGTCAGTTGATAGTAACCAAAGTTACCTTATGGAAAAGGTAGTGTACATTTCATTTTGGAAAAACACTGTATTGATAACTTATTTTTATTCTGCATTTGTTATGAGGAATGCTTGTCTGAATTAAATGTGAATGAGTCTGAAGTGCAATATCTATATAGATAAGTGGTTAATTTTTGAGAATGTATCTATTGAAAAAATACCTATTTATACAAGAAGTTCACTATTCTACTTAATATAATAGTAACCTTAAAGAAAATAGTGAATGTTTAGGGCTTTTATTTATTAAAAAAATGAAATTAAGTGCATGGCATATGCTGCCATTCACATGCTGTGACTTATTAATTTTTGTAACATAATGTTTATCCTGCAAACTATCAGTGTCATCTGTTTTTTTCTGTCCTGATAATGTATTTTTGTAAATTACCATATTTAAAAACAAAAATCTTTCTGCATATTTTTTTTCCCAATGAAAAAGAACGCATTAAATTCTTCTAACTTATTTGGAAAAACTCACAATCGTTTTCCATATCATTTTAGAAATGACAAGGTGCAATTTTCATGTACAGTGGATTGATCATTTCACTTCTGATAATTTAGGGCTTTAAAAGCTTGCTTCCAAAGCCCTTTGAAGTCAAAGGGAAGGTTGCTAGTGGGTTTTGTGGTTGGTTTTTCCAATCCCCATCATTTTAGGAGGGCTTTGCATCAAGCTGTATCTTGTTAGCAGACATTCAAAGCCTTCTTAGAGTCCAGTTTGGATAATAAAGCCTTGACTTTTTAGTCTGCCATATGGGAGCTGCTGTTGATAATACTTGCCTTATTTTTGATTGTGTGAAGCCTCTTGCAATGACTGTTGCTAACTAGCCATTGTCTTGCTGTATTATTTGTACCTCCTAATTTTCCAATAGTAAAAACTAAAAAAGCACATGTAGTGTCATTATTTAGGGAAAAAGTATCCTGGAGACAAAACCATCTTTATTGTGGAGATGGTCTTTTGTACTCTAATTTTATTTCAAATATCTACAATTAGAAAAAATAAGCTGTGAATGGACAGTTTTACAATTACTTATAGGTATACGTTCTTGAAGACCACAGCTAGGAACAAAATACTTTTTAGATGAGTTGCTGGTATATAAAATTATGGGACCTATCACCTATTTAAATTGTGAATATTGATATTTTCATAAGTAGACAATATATTGTGTTTGACAAACTTGTTTGTATTATAATAAATTATGGTGCATAACTTACTACTGTGTTTGGAGCTATTGTTTGGTTTATGGATTCTTATATACTTCTGATTTATAGATACTTATGATACACTAAAATCAGACTGAGAAAGTGGATGCAGAACCTCAGGAGACTGCTCATGGAAGAAGCCCTACATTTATTGAAATGAAAATTTCTAACACTGCAGGAAAATGTAAAACTATCTGGGATCAAGTTCCTAATTTCTCTGGAGAAGTAAAAGGACATGAAAAGGACAAAACCCACTAAAACTAAGCAGAGACTAGAGAAGAATCTGACCAGAAAAGTCCTTTGTCTTAGAGCTCAAACACTGTAGGGTGAAGCACATTGAGAGGAGAGGACCATGCAGGCAGTGTCTGACCTGCTTGTCAGATTTCCCTGCTGTAAAAGGCTTGGGAACAGGTTTTAAAATACAGCTTCAAAGAGAAAAATGAGGGGGAAGGGGCACTTCAGAAAAGGGCAATGTCAGATTTGATGGAGCTTATCAGAGTTGTTCCTTAAGGAAAGAGCCTGGGGTCTGCCTGTCTTGGTGCTTTCATTAACAGCTGTGGCATGAGAAGTACTGATCAAGTGTACAGGCTATAAAAATGGAATTATACTGCTGGCAGAGGACTGAAGGACAGGTGTTTCATGTAAGAATCAGATGACCTTGCAGATTGCAGTGATAAAAATGGGATGAATTCAATAATAATAAACACAAGGTTCTCCACTTGCCTGCCTCTAACAATACATTTTCTGTAAAACCTCAGCAGTCAGAAACAACCAAGAACCCAGTGGTGCCAGCTGGGCTTGAATGACAATGAGTCACCAACAGAAAGCAGCTGAGAAAAATCCCAGAATGTAATCACAGACACTTCTAACGATACAGCACAGTATTAATTGCATTTTGTAAGACTTCATGTGCTACATGCAGATGTATATAAAGGGATAAATAGCAGTGCAGAAAAACTTGATGAAACTGAGATGGAACAAAAATAAGCAGTTATGAATTTTCCTCAGGTAAATACGTCCTGGCAGTTAAAAGACATTCTAAAGCAGGGAGGCTCAGCAAAAGCCTTGCTAGCAGCCAGGCTGGTTTTAAATGGAGCCTGGTAGGTTCACACATAGAATTATGAGATGAGGCAGGTGGCAAAACACATTGGGACCGTGCTTCCTTGGAGCTGGCAGGTCTTTAACTCAGCTTAAAAGACAGCAGAGGTGTCCATTCATCCTATCTCATGCTGAGGGGCAGTGTGAGAACCGTGAGAGCCAGCAGCTACTCAGAGCAATTCCTGCAGTGAGCCACAAATCCTGCAGTGAGCCACAATTCCTGCAGTGAGCCACGATTCCTGCAGTGAGCCACAATTCCCTCAGCAGCTCTCCCTGTGGGTGCTGCAGGTGGGACCTCTCCAATGCAGCCCCACTGAACTTGCACCACCTTCTGCCTCAGCTTTCAGTTCTTTAAACACCTCTTTAAACCTGACAGAAGAGTAGAAATTTTAAAAGCAGCCTCATACAGTCCTGAACAATTAAATAATAATCCTGCTCT